TTCAGGCAATTCACAACTAGTTAACTGTCAGCACAGTTATTTGCCTTGCGCATATCGCAATATCCAGTATTATATTACCATAAGCAAACACGTCATTCACTACTGAAACTTCAATCAAAACGCCCACAAAAAATGCTCATCAATTGACTTTACACCAATGAACACAAAGTGTTATACATGTACCTGTACATGGTTATGCAACATCAAAAAGAACACATAAAACAGAAGTTACTTCAAAAAGTGAGCAAAATGTGAAATTATTTGTCTCTTTTAGTCTTCCGCTAGGAGATTGAGCTCAAATATAAACAAAATTTCTTTATCAGTGACAGAAAAATAATATTCAGTTTTGAAATACAGCCAAATTATAACATTTTGAATTGCACTTCGCATTATTCGTGTTATAAATAGTAGAAGTTTAATATGTTGAAGGGTCGATGGAAGGCAATCTTAAGTCGCTTAGCTATTCGTCGTTATGAAGTTTGTGCGCAGTCAACTAGAGAATACCCATGATGCTCTGCTTCATGTATATTTTGCTAATTTCTATACATTGAGCGCTATAATGCTAATTTTGTTTTTAAAGGGGAATATCTGAGAACATATGCTTTGGGAGGTTGTGTGTAACATGAAGCTCCATGTGTGTAGTCAGCTGATTTGTTTGTTTTATTCATGTTATTATAATGATGTTAACATCGACAAACAACTATGTTTTGTTTACGATATTAATATTTTATTACCATGTGTTGAATTCTGTAAAATTACACAAATACATCAAGTACAGGCACTTTGTAAGTGTTGACGTCGGGGCAATTTATCCTTAGGACACGCCCAAGTCGTTTGGTGGTATAATTTATGGTTTAATTAATAATCGTACTGCCTCAAGTGACCATGTTTGACACGCAACAAGTTCCGTTTCAATGGCTTTCCTCGTTAGTTTCACAAGCATTTGCCGTGACTGTCATCGACACACTAACGCCATCCTCTCGTGATTGTGAATAGACGTGAACAAGAGAGTTACCACGCACCAATAAGAGTTATGTAATCTACTCAAATACAGCAAAGGGTTACTTGGCGGGGGCGCTTTCATGAATTATTGACGTTATTTAATTTATGGTTTGATTACAAAGAACGCAAAAAAGTCTCACGCTGTTGCGATCTACGGTACATTGAACCAGAGTTGTCTCACAGCGCAAGTAATACAGTACGATCAACGGCAGTACTGCAATACAGGAGGTAGAAACCTGTGATATTGGTTAGTAGATTTAATATTACTATGGTTTAATATTTTTAACTTTCTCTCTATATGGTTGTCACAGGGTTCGATGTTATATTTTCATGACTGTTTGGGTGTGATCATGTGATGTTCACAGCTCAGCATGGGTGTGTGTCACAGGGTTCGTCAGAAAATCTATCACAATTGTTCTGTTCTGTTTATCTATACATGTCCAGCCTCTAGACAGTGTGTTTAATACAGCCAGGTAGGAAGATTGTTGTGCATACGTACACTTTGCGGTCAGGACGTCACGATGCCACCTAGCATGCTCCTGGCAGAACATTGTAGTTTATAGACGCGTGTTTATGGAAAACAGCGTATTTGCAAAAACGTGAGAATTAATTACTACCAAACAGTATCACTGACTTGGCTG